GTCATACGGGTCTGTAGTTAAGTGCCTCCTCCCTATCACCTTTCTTGAAAATCGGTACGACATTTGCCTCCTTCCAGCAACTGGGCAATTCTCCCGACATAAGTGACTCATTAAAGATCGTTGCCAGAGGCACGCTGAGAGCCTGCGCTGCCTCTTTAAGTATCCACGGTGATACTTTGTCTGGTCCAACTGCTTTACTGGCATCCAGTGTTGTCAACTGTTTCATTACATCCTCTGCTGTCACCTCTATATCTGATAGTCTTTCATCTTGGGTAATTTCTTCTAACAATGGGAGCTGCTCAGGCTCGGTTGTGAACACTCCATGGAATTTTGCATTCATTACCTCGCAGAATTCCTTGTCGCTTTCTGTATATGCCCCTTCTGTTTTCCTCAGTCTTGTCACTTGGTCATTTACCGACATCTTCCTTCTTATATGGCTATGTAGTAATTTAGGTTGCTTTTTCGCTTTGACTGCAATATCATTCTCATAATTTCTTTCCGACACTCGTCTTATGTTAATGTAATCATTCCTAGCTCTGTTACATCTAATCCTGTTGTCCTCTGTCCTTTGTCTTCTGTACTTCCTCCACTCCCTCCTGCTTCTCACCTTTGCTTCCTGACACTGTCTATTAAACCATGGGTTATTATATTCCCTCCTGCTTTTTTCCTTTATTGTTGGAATAAATCTCTCTTCAGCCTCCTTGCATTTCAATATGACTTGGTTCATCATACCTTGCACTGTTTTTCCTCTAAGTTCTTCCTCCCACTGCACTTCTCCCAGGTAGTCCCTTATCCTTCTGTAGTCCCCTTTTCTGTAATCAAGTCTCCTTTCCCGGACCTCTTGTCCTTTGGTCACAATTTTAAGCTCCATCATGTAGTCAAAGACTAGGACACAATGGTCACTAGCTCCTAGTGGTATTTCATGTTCCAACTGCTCGATGTCTTCTGCATTCTGGGTGAAAATGAGATCTAATAGGCTGGGCGTATCCCCTCCTCTTTCCCTAGTATCTTCTTTCACATGCTGTGTTAGGAAATTCCTGTCAATAACGTCTACCAGCTTCGCTCCCCAGGTCTCCTCCCCGCCATGGGGATTCCTCGTTTCCCAATCTATCTCTCCGTGATTTAGGTCCCCCATGACCAGCAGCTTTGCTCTCATTCTATGCCCTATAGTTGCTGCCCTCTGCAGTTCATCTATACATGTCTTGTTGCTGTCCTCGTTCTCCTGCCTGGGCCTTCTACTGTTTGGTGGGGGATTGTAGAGTATCAAGATTACAATCTTCTTCCCATCCACTGTCAGAGTTCCATGTATGAAGCTCGTGCTTTCATTGGTACCCGGATTTTCCAGCTCATCAAACTTCTATTTCCGCTTTATTAGTAGTGCCACTCCTCGTCCCTGTCTCTGTGTCCTTTCTTTTCTTATCACCTGGTACCCCTCTGGAAAGATTGCATCCGTAGTCAACAGTGTTGGTATCTGTCGTAGCCAACAGTGTTGGGTTGTGTCGTAGCCAACAGTGTTGGGTTGTGTCGTAGCCAACATTGTTGGGTTGTGTCGTAGCCAACAGTGTTGGGTTGTGTCGTAGCCAACAGTGTTGGGTTGTGTTGTAGCCAACAGTGTTGGGTTGTGTCGTAGCCAACAGTGTTGGGTTGTGTCGTAGCCAACAGTGTAGGGTTGTGTCGTAGCCAACAGTGTTGGGTTGTGTCGTAGCCACAATCAACCTTCAGTGCATGACAGTGTCAAGCCGCCACTAGGCGCTAAAGCTGAACAATTATTCACTGATGTCTTGTATTCACTAACAATCACCATGAGTCTTTTCCAGTATTTCCTGTCTTATTCCTCCTTCCTAGGCATATGTTTTGGTCGTGTGTCGACCACTCCCTAACATGCATATAATTATTATTTTATATTATTGTATGTATATATTATTATTTTAATATTTTATGTATTGTATTTCATATTGTTTATATGTAATATGTATTTACATATTATTTTATGTATTATATATATATATATATATATATATATATATATATATATATATATATATATATATATATATATATATATATATATATCGTACCTAGTAGCCAGAACGCATTTCTCGGCCTACTATGCAAGGCCCGATTTGCCTAATAAGCCAAGTTTTCCTGAATTAATATATTTTCTCTAATTTTTTTCTTCTGAAATGATAAAGCTACCCATTTCATTATGTATGAGGTCAATTTTTTTTTATTGGAGTTGAAATTAACGTAGATATATGACCGAACCTAACCAACCCTACCTAACCTAACTTATTCTATCTTTATAGGTTAGGTTATGTTAGGTAGCGGAAAAAGTTATGCTAGGTTAGGTTAGGTAGGTTAGGTAGTCGAAAAACAATTAATTCATGAAAACGTGGCTTATTAGGCATATCGGGCCTTGCATAGCAGGCCAAGAAGTTTTCACACAACGTTCCATTCGCATCCGAGCAGGTTTTTATATACATACTCTATAGATGTCACATCTGTGATGGTAAAAAAGACATGGTTTTCTGAAAATGTTTTTCTTTTGTTTTTCATGTAAGGGAAATCTTCTGAACCTTTTTACCAATTGGTTTGAAATTTTGAAACAACGTTGCATTCGAATAGGCGCATCTTTTTATATACCTACAATATAGATGCCACCCCTGTGACAGGTAAAAACATGCGTTTTTGAAAAACAGCGCCATCTGCTGCAAATAATGGCAACATGCACGCTATACTAAATATATCACGAATTCCATTTCAATGTTTCCGATTGCGTTGATAAATTTTACTTACATAGATTTCGATTTATTTTATTTTTTAGTGAATTATTTTGTGTGATTTTGTGTTGGAATTGAGCTGTGTTGTTTATCATACCGTTCATTTCTTAGGTATAAGTATAGATGCAACACCTGTGACAGGTAAAACTATGCTTTTCTTACATGCAACAGTGCCATCTGTTGCATGTAAGAGAAACACACATGCTATACTAGATATGTTACAATTCCATTTCAATGTTTCTGATTGCATTGATAAATTCAATTTTCCTAGATTTTTTATTTATTTTCATTTTGATTAAATTATTTTGTGTAAATTGCGTTGGAATTGAGCTGTGTTGTTTACCATAACGTTCATTTCATGAGAATAGTTTCTTTTTATATTTTTTCATATTTTCATTTCATTTTTAACTGTTTTTCTTATATTTCAGTGATGGGAACATCAGATCACTTGATGTTCCCAATTTTCTGATGGTAACACCAGACCATTTGGGAAGGCATCGGATGAGGGAGTGGGGAATGGTGGGGATGACGAGGGGACGGAAATGAGAGATGGTGGGGAGGACGAGGGGACAAGGGAGGGGGAAATGGTGGGGAAGGAAGAGAGGACGGGGGAGTTTGGGATGGTGGGGACGAGGGGATGGGGGAAAGGAGAATGGTGGGGAGGACAAAGGGACAGGGGAGTGGGGAATGGTTGGGAGGCCGAGGAGACGGGTGAGGGGAAAATGGTGGGGAGGACTGGGGGACAGGGAAGGTTGCTGTGGCTCGGCAACGCATATGCAGCAACGCGTGGCCTGGTACTGCTAGTATATATATATATATATATATATATATATATATATATATATATATATATATATATATATATATATATATATATATATATATATATATATATATATATATATATATATATATATATATATATATATATATATATATTTTCTGAAAAAAAATGTTTTCCACGTGTTTTTCATATGAGGGAAATCTTCGAAACCTCTTTACCGATTGCTTTGAAAATTTGATACGTTGCATTCGAATAGTCGCGTCTTTTTATATACCTACTGTATAGATGCCACTCCCTGTGACAGGTAAAAACATGCGTTTTTTAAAAACAGCGCCATCTGTTGCACATAATAGCAACATGCACGCTATACTAAATATGTCACGAATTCCATTTTAATGTTTCCGATTGTATTGATAAATTTTATTTTCATAGATTTTGATTTATTTTCTTTTTGATTTAATTATTTTGTGTGAATTGCATTGGAATTAAGCTGTGTTGTTTACCATAACGTTCATTTCATGAGTATAGTTTATTTTTTATTTTTTTCATATTTTATTTTCATTTTTTAACTGTTTTTCTTATATTTCAGTGATGGGAACATCAGATCACTTGATGTTCCCAATTTTCTGATGGTAACATCAGACCATTTGGGAAGGCATCGGATGAGGGAGTGGGGAATGGTGGGGATGACGAGGGGACGGAAGTGAGAGATGGTGGGAAGAACGAAGGGAAAAGGGAGGGGGTAATGGTGGGGAAGGACGAGGGAACGGGGGAGTGTGGCATGGTGGGAAGAAGAGGGGATGGTGGAGTGGGGAATGGTTCGAGGCCGAGGAGACGGGTGACGGGTGAGGGGGGAATGGTGGGGAGGACTGTGGGACATGGAAGGTTGCTGTGGCTCAGCAGCGCACATGCGTAATATTATTTTATTTCGCGTCGAGGTTTCGTATTAAGGACAGTTCAGAAAGTCTGACGAATATATAAAATGATCCGGCCACTAAACTAACTATCACCTGCCAATTTAACGTGGCGGTGAACACTGGTGGCTGGGCGAGGCGCTGTGGTTAGCTCCGTCGTTTCATATTGCAATATTGCTGTCGCTTCGTCTGCATGAAACCGGCGTGTGGGAATATTGCTCAAAAATACTAACAATATTGATAGTTTTGCCTGGAGTTGGGCAGTTTGTGCTGGCTATCCCTTCGTCTATGGTCGTGGAGTAATTCTATATCACTTAACGAGAGCCGCTGTATTCCCAGGTGCCTAAACGTAAGAGAATTCGGTAGAAATGTAACTGTATTTTTGTGTTTGTCCGAGGGAAGGAAATTCTCAGAGGTGGATTTAATGATGAATTTATAGGATGAGTTGTGGTGGTGTGAGGTGGAGAGGTGGAGCAGTGTGGGTGAGGCAGGAGTCAGTGTGGCTGCAGCCGTCGTGGAGGGAGGGTGTACAGCGCTCCGCTCCGTACCTGGACCAGCTGAGCTCAACAGCTTCTGGTGATACGACCATTACTGGTAGTTAATAAACGTCAACGCGTTTCTTCCCCCTCACGCTCGCGGGCTATTGACTCGTTGGTAACAATGAGGATGAGATACAGCCTAACCTCAGAAACTTATGGCGACAATTTAAAGTTTTATTTTACTAATAGGGAGAAAACCAATTTGGTAAAGTAATGATCAAGTGTTAAGTAGAATAATTAATTAACGTGATTTAGCATCCAAGCACTGATGATAATCATTCTCAGCTTATTACCTGGTGTTGTATTTGTCTATTGTATTCAGTAAACAGACTGTTGTAGTTACGTAGTCAAGAATAGACCTGTTTACGCGTGAGTAATAGTGATCTGTGAAACAATTGATCAACTCTACAGGAACCCTTGAGAGCGAGTGATATTGACCTTTAATTAGATATCAAAACTGGAAGTTTGGATCTTAGGAAATTTCTCCTACTTAAGGTGGTGCGGCGAGTGAATGGTCAGTCCTGTTGAAAGTGGCTGGTCAGTAAGGACTCTGAGTCTGACCTTAAATAGTAAAAACCCCGATTCTGACCCCAGTGACGACCCCCTCTCTGACCCCCTAAGCAGTGCCGACCCCTTCTCTGACCCCCGAAGCAGTGACGACCCCTTCTCTGACCCCCTAAGCAGTGTCGACCCCCTCTCTGACCCCCAAAGCAGTGACGACCCCCTCTCTGACCCCAGATCAGGTTGACCTAACGCAGAGAGAGAGAGAGACGGGTCAGTGGCGGGAGGCAGACAGTGCTTTATAGTGTCCATCATCGGAAAATCCTTTGATCGTAAAAAAAAGTGGAGCAAAACGACTGTTGGTGTTGGCATCATGTATGCCCTTCTGTTGGGACTCTTCCTCGCCACCACTACACCAGGTAAGGCCCAGATGATAGGTTTTATCCACATTCATGCTAAATTAATTATGCCAAAATTGTAACAAAAGTATTATGTTTATCTTTGCATTCATATTCAAAGTCATCAAAATCACATGATGGTAATTTTCCTTCTATCAAACGCAACTGGTATCATGTGTAGAAGATATGAATGTTTTACGAAATTGTTGAAAAACATGTGTAAATGCGGATTTTGATTTTTTTCAAAGTAATTATTGTAAATGTGTGTTAATTTTTCTAAATAAGACCCATCGTTTTTTAATTGTACGAAGTAAATGGAAATTTAATGAAGTTCGCGTTTAAAACTGATTTATATTAATAGAAGCATATTAGATATGTAGTGGAAGAATATCTAGACTTAGTGATACCTCAGAAAATATATTTTTTACATGTTAAACATTTTTGTAACAAGGTTCGTTATTTTCACATTAGACGCGCGGCAAGACGAACGACCAACAGTGCTGGTCACTGTTGTAGGTGACATTGTTGTAGGTGACACTGTTGTAGGTGACACTGTTTTGGGCCACACTGTTGTAGGTGACACTGTTGTAGGTGACACTGTTGTAGGTGACACTGTTGTAGGTGACACTGTTGTAGGTGACACTGTTGTGGGTGACACTGTTGTAGGTGACACTGTTGTAGGCGACACTGTTGTAGGCGACACTGTTGTGGGCGACACTGTTGTAGGTGACACTGTTGTGGGCCACACTGTTGTAGGCGACACTGTTGTAGGTGACACTGTTGTGGGCGACACTGTTGTAGGTGACACTGTTGTGGGCCACACTGTTGTAGGTGACACTGTTGTAGGTGACACTGTTGTAGGCGACACTGTTGTGGGCCACACGGTTGTGGGCCACACTGTTGTAGGTGACACTGTTGTAGGTGACACTGTTGTAGGTGACACTGTTGTGGGCCACACGGTTGTGGGCCACACTGTTGTAGGCGACACTGTTGTGGGCCACACTGTTGTAGGTGACACTGTTGTGGGTCACACTGTTGTAGGTGACACTGTTGTGGGCCACACTGTTGTAGGTGACACTGTTGTAGGTGACACTGTTGTGGGCCACACGGTTGTGGGCCACACTGTTGTAGGCGACACTGTTGTGGGCCACACTGTTGTGGGCCACACGGTTGTGGGCCACACTGTTGTAGGCGACATTGTTGTGGGCCACACTGTTGTGGGCCACACTGTTGTAGGCGACACTGTTGTGGGCGACACTGTTGTGGGCGACACTGTTGTGGGCCACACTGTTGTGGGCCACACTGTTGTAGGCGACACTGTTGTGGGCCACACTGTTGTGGGCCACACTGTTGTGGGCGACACTGTTGTGGGCGACACTATAGAGGGCCACACTGTTGTGGGCCACACGGTTGTGGGCCACACTGTTGTAGGCGACACTGTTGTAGGCGACACTGTTGTTGTTGTAGGCGAGAGGACACTGTTGTAGGCGACACTGTTGTAGGCGACACTGTTGTAGGCGACACTGTTGTAGGCGACACTGTTGTGGGCCACACTGTTGTGGGCCACACTGTTGTAGGCGACACTGTTGTAGGCGACACTGTTGTGGGCCACACTGTTGTGGGCGACACTGTTGTAGGCGACACTGTTGTGGGCGACACTGTTGTGGGCCACACTGTTGTGGGCGACACTGTTGTGGGCGACACTGTTGTAGGCGACACTGTTGTAGGCGACACTGTTGTGGGCGACACTGTTGTGGGCGACACTGTTGTAGGCGACACTGTTGTAGGCGACACTGTTGTGGGCCACACTGTTGTGGGCCACACTGTTGTGGGCGACACTGTTGTGGGCCACACTGTTGTGGGCGACACTGTTGTAGGCGACACTGTTGTGGGCGACACTGTTGTGGGCGACACTGTTGTGGGCGACACTGTTGTGGGCCACACTGTTGTGGGCGACACTGTTGTGGGCGACACTGTTGTGGGCGACACTATAGAGGGCCACACTGTTGTGGGCCACACGGTTGTGGGACACACTGTTGTAGGCGACACTGTTGTAGGCGACACTGTTGTAGGCCACACTGTTGTAGGCCACACGGTTGTGGGCCACACTGTTGTAGGCGACACTGTTGTAGGCGACACTGTTGTGGGCCACACGGTTGTGGGCCACACGGTTGTGGGCCACACTGTTGTAGGCGACACTGTTGTAGGCGACACTGTTGTGGGCCACACTGTTGTGGGCGACACTGTTGTGGGCCACACTGTAGTGGGCGACACTGTTGTGGGCGACACTGTTGTGGGCCACACTGTAGTGGGCCACACTGTTGTGGGCCACACTGTTGTAGGCGACACTGTTGTAGGCGACACTGTTGTGGGCCACACGGTTGTGGGCCACACTGTTGTAGGCGACACTGTTGTAGGCGACACTGTTGTGGGCGACACTGTTGTGGGCCACACTGTTGTGGGCGACACTGTTGTGGGCCACAGTGTTGTGGGCCACACTGTTGTGGGCGACACTGTTGTGGGCGAGTTGTGGGCGACACTGTTGTAGGCGACACTGTTGTGGGCGAGAGGTGGGCACTGTTGTACGACACTGTTGTGGTTGTACTGTTGTGGGCGACACTGTTGTGGGCGACACTGTTGTGGGCGACACTGTTGTGGGCGACACTGTTGTGGGCGACACTGTTGTGGGCGACACTGTTGTGGGCGAGAGGACACTGTTGTAGGCGACTGTTGTGGGCCACACTGTTGTGGGCGACACTGTTGTGGGCCACACTGTTGTAGGCGACACTGTTGTGTTGTAGGCGACACTGTTGTGGGCGACACTGTTGTAGGCGACACTGTTGTGTTGGCCACACTGTTGTGGGCCACACTGTTGTAGGCGACACTGTTGTAGGCGACACTGTTGTAGGGCGGACACTGTTGTAGGCGACACTGTTGTAGGCGACACTGTTGTAGGCGACACTGTTGTGGGCGACACTGTTGTAGGCGACACTGTTGTGGCGAGAGGACACTGTTGTAGGCGACACTGTTGTAGGCGACACTGTTGTAGGCGACACTGTTGTAGGCGACACTGTTGTAGGCGACACTGTTGTAGGCGACACTGTTGTAGGCGACACTGTTGTAGGCGACTGTTGTAGGCGACACTGTTGTAGGCGACACTGTTGTGGGCGACACTGTTGTAGGCGACACTGTTGTGGGCGACACTGTTGTAGGCGACACTGTTGTAGGCGACACTGTTGTAGGGCGAGGCACACTGTTGTAGGCGACACTGTTGTAGGCGACACTGTTGTGGGCGACACTGTTGTAGGCGACACTGTTGTAGGCGACACTGTTGTAGGCGAGACTGTTGTAGGCGAGAGGACACTGTTGTAGGCGACACTGTTGTAGGCGACACTGTTGTAGGCGACACTGTTGTGTTGTAGGCGACACTGTTGTAGGCGACACTGTTGTTGTAGGCGACACTGTTGTAGGCGACACTGTTGTAGGTGACACTGTTGTAGGTGACACTGTTCTAGGTGACACTGTTGTAGGTGACACTGTTGTAGGCGACACTGGTGTAGATGACACTGTTGTAAGCGATACTGTTGTAGGTGACACTATTGTAGGTGAAACTGTTGTAGGTGACACTGTTGTAGGTGACACTGTTGTAGGTGACACTGTTGTAGGCGACACTGTTGTAGGCGAGAGGACACTGTTGTAGGCGAGAGGACACTGTTGTAGGCGACACTGTTGTAGGCGACACTGTTGTAGGCGACACTGTTGTAGGCGACACTGTTGTAGGCGACACTGTTGTAGGCGACACTGTTGTAGGTGACACTGTTGTAGGTGACACTGTTGTAGGCGAGAGGACACTGTTGTGGGCGACACTGTTGTGGGCGACACTGTTGTGGGCGACACTGTTGTAGGCGACACTGTTGTGGGCGACACTGTTGTGGGCGACACTGTTGTGGGCGGACACTGTTGTAGGCGACACTGTTGTGGGCGACACTGTTGTAGGCGACACTGTTGTAGGCGACACTGTTGTAGGCGACACTGTTGTAGGCGAGAGGACACTGTTGTAGGCGACACTGTTGTAGGCGAGAGGACACTGTTGTAGGCGACTGTTGTGGAGGTCACTGTTAGGGGCCACACTGTTGTAGGCGAGAGGACTGTTGTAGGCGAGACACTGTTGTAGGCGAGAGGACACTGTTGTAGGCGAGACACTGTTGTAGGCGAGAGGACACTGTTGTAGGCGAGTGGGCGACACTGTTGTAGGCGACACTGTTGTAGGCGAGGACACTGTTGTAGGCGACACTGTTGTAGGCGACACTGTTGTAGGCGACACTGTTGTAGGCGACACTGTTGTAGGCGAGCGGTCACTGTTGTAGGCGACACTGTTGTAGGCGAGAGGTAGGCGACACTGTTGTAGGGAGGACACTGTTGTAGGCGACACTGTTGTTGTAGGCGACACTGTTGTGGGTGACACTGTTGTAGGCGACACTGTTGTGTTGTAGGCGAGAGGACACTGTTGTAGGCGACACTGTTGTAGGCGACACTGTTGTAGGCGACACTGTTGTAGGCGACACTGTTGTAGGCGACACTGTTGTGGGCGACACTGTTGTAGGCGAGAGGTTGTGGTTGTAGGCGAGAGGACACTGTTGTAGGCGACACTGTTGTAGGCGACACTGTTGTAGGCGACACTGTTGTAGGCGACACTGTTGTAGGCGACACTGTTGTAGGCGACACTGTTGTAGGCGAGAGGTCACTGTTGTAGGCGACACTGTTGTAGGCGACACTGTTGTAGGCGACACTGTTGTAGGCGAGTTGTGGGCCACACTGTTGTAGGCGACACTGTTGTGGGCGACACTGTTGTGGGCCACACTGTTGTAGGGCGGACACTGTTGTAGGCGACACTGTTGTAGGCGACACTGTTGTAGGCGACACTGTTGTAGGCGACACTGTTGTAGGCGACACTGTTGTAGGCGACACTGTTGTAGGCGAGAGGCGACACTGTTGTAGGCGAGAGGTTGTGTTGTAGGCGA